AGTGCCTATGCTGGTTACAGTCGTGGACAAACTGCACACATCCCCTGCTGTCCTGCCCCAGGGCCTTTGCTTGTACCATCCCTGTCCTGGAGGGCTGTCCTTGTGCTGCCAGCCCCTCTGGGGCTCTTGTATCCCCTCAGCCTTGCTCTCAGAGCTGTGTCTGCCTCCTCCTTTTGGGCTGAGGCACCAGGACCAGGCTTCTGGGTCCCAAGGGGGTGGTGGACAATGTGCTGGCTCTCCCAGGTGGGTCCTCTCCCTGCAGAACTTCTGAAGGCCCAAAATGCCAGATGCCCTGGTAGCCTCACTTGGAGTCAGCCTGGAGCCTGCTCATCCTCCAAGCAACAATAGCAGGGGCAGCCTGGCCCCTTGGCCCCCTGCCCTCGGGTCCTGCCGCCCACACCTTGCAGGTCCCCCCGCTGGAATCCCTGCACAGGGCAGAGGCCGGAGAAGTCCTGCCATGGCATCAGCACATTCAGCGAGGGGCTGGGCTGTGTGGGTGCACTCCCTTCTCGCCACCCTTTTGCCCATGCCTGTGGCCCAGCACCTAGACTTTGCCCCAAGGAAGCGGGGAGCCACGTTGGGAACATTGTGGAAGCCTCCCCAAGGTGGGACGCGGGACCGGGGCCGGTGGCCTGGAAGGGTTAACGCAGCCACCCCTCCGCCCACACCCTGGCTTTATCAACATGTGCCTCCCATTACCCACGCAGCTTACAATATTTTTGGTGTCTGTATCAAGTTGATTCAATTACTGGGACCGCGGTGAGGGAATATTCCCTGCAGGGGCCAGCGAACGCTCCAGTGCCCGTGGACGGAGTGGGAGCGGGCGGGAGGCTTGGGAGAATGCTGACTGCCTTCCTTGCAAACTCCTGTAATTGACTTTAAAAATGGCATTAGCATTTAAATGGTCCCATCGTTACGGGGTGAAGGTTCAGCAGAATATGATCAATGTATCGAGCTCTTCAAATGTTCATTTGATATTTATTTTTCGGTGTGTCATGCCGCAGGGGCTTTCTGAGTTTCCTGGCAGCAGCTCGGACCTTTGATTAGGCTCTGTAGTCGGCGCAGACAAACCGCACAGCCTGCCTGGGGTTCGAGGCCCGGGTGCGAAGCTGCAGCACCTTCCCTGGTGGACCCTCGCAGGGCCACGCCTCTCATCCCCAGCCCTGCAGAGGGAGTCGTACACGAGGACCCTGACCCGTATCCAGGGCAGGAAAGCACACTGGCATCCGGAGCAGGGCCAGGGAGGTCAGGTGTCTCCAGCTCAGGCTAGCTGTGACCTCACCGGTGTGGACACCCTGGGTGCTGGCAAGGACAGGACCCTGGGCGTCCATTCTATCACAGTGGCCCCAGGCCTGTAGGCCCCAGGCCCAGCCCACAAAGGCAGGAAGTGTCCACCCTGAGCTGGAGTGGGGATGAGCTCCCAGGTGCGGCAGCGCTGCTCCGCACCCTGGGAAGGTTTTGCAGAGTTACAGGGATCGGGTGAAAATGTAAAATGACCTAAAGGGACCCTGAGAACAATGGGGTGAAGGTAAAGCTTCGTTTCAGCCACACCTGGAGGTTGACAGGAGCGTCCAGGTGGCCGGTTGCAGGGGAGGGGCCCCGGGACCGGGCGGCTCTGGCTCTGCTCTCTGGCTGCAGTTCACAGCCCCTGAGTGTGCTCAGTGGGCTCTGGAAACCCCACCGCAGACCTCAGCCACCTGCCTAGGGGTCGCTCTGGGCTGGCCCAGAACTTGGGGCCCAGAGACTGCCTGCCTGCCTTCCTGCCCCCTTGCACCCAGACCGCGAGCTCTGGGCCCAGGGACTGTGCGAGGTAGAGGACACAGGTGGCCCAGGAGGGGACAGTAAGGCCTGTGGCTCAGGCCACTGTGTGAGCCAAGCCTGCTGGCCACAGGCTGGACCCCTACCCCACCCTGTCTGTAGCCTGTCCCTTCTGCTTGTCCCTGGGCCTGGTGACCCCCTCCCTGGCCAAGGACAGACCACCTGACCTCCTGCCACAAGGCCACAAACACTGCACTGAGCCTGCACCCTCAGGGTGGCACCCCTGGGAACCCAGTTTATGAGAGGGCAAGGTGCTTCCCCTAGACCCAGATAAACCACTAAGGGGAGCACACGCCAAGGCTGACCTTAGGCGCCCCGGCAGCCTCTCCGGGCTTTGTCTCGAGCTGTGCCTGCTACGTGCACACCGGGAGGCCCGGTTAGGGGCCCCAGCTCTTAGTGGCTTCCATTCCACATTATGGGATTCCTGGGCATGGGACTCAAAATCTTGCCAGTGGCCTGGACCACATGAGCCTCGGGAACATGTCCTCTGCTGTCCTCAGTCCAGGTCGGGGTGTGGAGGTGCTACTACTGTCTTAGCTTTTGGCTCCTGACGTGCCCTGCAGGTTACAGGAGTCTCCAGGACCACTCGGAGGTCACCAGCATCAGCTCGACCTCGGCAGCTGCACAAGGGTCCATGGAGCGGCCTCAGGCTCCCAGGCAAGGTCTGTGACAGCTGGAGCCACACGTGGCCCTGCATCCTGTGCCTCGCTGTCCCCGGGCCTCGGGCCCCTGCTGCTCATGTGCCCTCTCCGGATCCCACCCTGGCCATTGCCTCCTCTCTCTCCAAGCCCTCGGGCCCCAGTGCTGCCCGCACATTGGTGTCCCTGAGAGACCCAGGTAAGGGCGGCTTTTTTTTGCTGGGCCCAGAAATCCAGGCCAGTGCTCCAGGGCATAACTGTCCCCGCGGTGAGTCACTGGGATGATAAAATTCCTACATTAGCCCTTGCGTGGAAAAATGACACCTGAGCAACAAAGTCTCCCCGAGGCACTGACAGATGCTGATTAGCATCAGGTCTGGGCAGACAGTGCAGACCCTGCCCAGGAACAGGCTTCTGCCCAAGCCGGACCCGGACCCTCCAGGGACGCCCCGCGGAAGGGCTCTGCAAAAACTCAGCACCCTGCCTGTCCTGGCAGGCTCTGCTCTCAGGCTCGGGACCCGAGACCCCAGACACACTCTGCTGTGGAGACAGCGCCCTGCACGCAAAGGTAAACTGAGTTCAAGCGCCTCAGAGAGGGAGGGCCCTATCCTTAATCCTGGGGACACAGCAGGCTGGCGACTGAGCCGGAGGGGGCGCCCAGGCTGCCGGCCCCCACGAGCCTTACCCACACCCATGAGAGGAGAAGCCCCCTGCTGGCCACCCCGCCGCGATTTCCGCAAGTTTCCGGAATGCCTCTGCTCGTGACAACTGCAGGCCACCAGGACGCAGACTTGCCCCTTCGGTGCCCTCCTGGGCCTCTTTCCCAGCCACAATGGTGCAGTAGAGGACGCCCGTTTGCCGCCCTGCCGTTTAAACACCTTGCAAAGTACTCACGCCTCAGCGACCACACGGTTTACATTAGAGTCAGACAGGAGCTGGAAACGCTTGAGTCTTTATTTTAAAGGTTCCCAAAAGGCAGATAACATCTGGGGAAACAGGGACATTGAACCCTGGCTTGCGAAGTTGGAGGAGAGATGTCCCTCACTCAGGCGACAGAGGGCGCCGGTACCCCAGCTTCCTGGGCACAAGGTGGGCAGCCGCCCGTCCCGGTCCACAGAAGGGGACTGAGGGAGCCACCAACCACACGGTGACCCTGGCCAGAGCCTGACCAGGCTTAGGGCCCCCAGGACTTCCTGCGTCTTCCAGACACTCTGCATTTTCCCGCCCTGCATGTCACCCACAGCCCTCCCCTGCAGACTTTGGAGCCCGAGGAGACTTTTATACCTTTAACCCCTTTCCAGGAGGCTGCGGTGGCCATCACCTTTAGCCAGCCTTGCTGGGAGGTGGTGGGAAAGACATCTGGTCCCCATGCCTTCATGGTGCCCGGTCACCAGCAGGGAGGGGGCCAGGGTCCCCCTGAGGGGGACAGGGACAGCGTTAGGCAGTGAACTGGCAGCATCTGGCAGCAGATGTGTCCTCCATGGGCCCAGGCCACTCAACAGCCACCGAGGGCTATGGGTGAGGCCACAGGGTGACACTCCTTGGCACCTGCTTAGTGGGCAGTGGTGAGGCCCCGGCAGGAGAGAAGGGGATGAGGGGCTGGGCTGCCCGTCCCTACACACATGTCCAGCCAGTGTCCACCACCCTCCAGAATGACGGGCCAGGGGACAGTCAGCTCCAAGCCCACACACCCCCGTGCAGTGCGGCTTTCTCCGGACCCACGCCGTGCCTGGCTGCCTCCCTCCCGGGAGCCTTCCACCTCGGTCAGCCATGTTCTCCGACAGACATCAGTGTCCCAGTGGGTCGCTCCCGGAGGAGCTGGCCAGCGTGGCCACGACTCTTTCCTGAGCCCTCAGGGACATGCCGCTCCTCAGCTGCCCTTTTGGTGCACGGCGCCTGCGGCCTCCTCCCCTGGGTCTGAGACTCCAGGCTTGGACGACAATGTGTGTCCTTCCCAGGGAGCGTGGACAGACTAACCAAAGACAGAGCAGGGGCGGACATGGCCCCAGCCGAGCCCTGACCACAGGTTTCTGCGCCCCGGGAGGTGTGCCCAGGTCGGCTGATTTTTTTGGCAAGTGGCTTTCAGACACGAGGTCAGGGTCCTAAGCCGATGAGCCCAGTGCCAAGAGTCTTTTCCTGCCTCATCTTGGTTAGATCTCAGGAAGTGTGCCCAGCCTTGGACCGGGATGGCGTGGCCTGGGTGGCACAAAGCATCCCAGGATCTATACAGCTGAGGGTGCCAGGCACAGTGTCCGAGCTCCAGGCTGGGGGACAGGTCTCTGGGCAGAGGAGCTGGGGACCACGCGGAGCCCCTGCCGCCACTGTGAACACCAAAGGCCCAGAGCTGCTGGCTGCCAGGGCCGGCCCAAGTTTCCAGGGCTGGTGCCAGGACCTGGCGCCTCTTGACCTCTCCATGGAAATGTCCGCCTGCCAAGGCCCAGCCCCCGGCCCCAAGCACATTCCTGTTCTGAAACACTCTGAGAACTCACGCATAGCCCTGTTTATAGGTGGGAGAGCAAAGCCAAATTGGGCGGCAGATGCTTCCCATTTGCCCGTCCACCGGCGTCGTCAGCAGAGCAGTGCCGGTGCTGCCCTCAGAGGCTGGGCAGGAGCAGCCGCGCATGGCACCCCCAGAAGGTCAGGGGGGCCCCGCTCAGCAGGACCGTCAGGAGCAGGCAAGGTACACAGACCTCTCTCTGGGGCCCTTGGCTCTGTGTCCAGGGCCTCCGGACCCTCTGGGAACACTGGGCCCCAGCACCGCCTTCCGGACTGTCCCCAGGACCCCTGCTCTATGCACCCATTCAGAATATCTGCCCAGCACCTGCTGCGCCCCACCGACCAGGGCCGGGATGTCAGTCACAGGCCAGGCACAATCACCGGGTCTCAGAATCTCAGCCACGGCACGTGTTCAACCCCAGGTCCTGGCTGACTCGGCCACAGCTTGGGGCCCTTGTCCAGGCCAGCACTCCTTCCGGGACACCCCACACCCAGGGCATAGCCAAGGTGGGTCCATCTCAAGTTCTTGTTTATCAGCACTTCTGTTTTCAGCTGCAACAACTACCTTCAGCCTCAGAAGGGGTGTCAGCTCACACCTATGCCGTGGCCCTCAGCCCGAGCCCAGCCCCTCCCAGCCCCATGGACGAGGGGTGTGAGGAAGGCTGAGGCCCGGGCGGAGAGCTCCCTGGGTCAGGTGCTGCTGGAATGGGCTCCTTCCCCTGCACACCGAGCCGGGCTCCCTGGAGGAAGTCACTTCCCGGATCTGTGTTGGAGTCCACAGGGAGGGTGGGAGAAACTGAGGCAGAAATGCTCTCCCTCTGGTGCAAACAGAGAGAGTGGCACATGCCCCCCGGCCACCTGCTCCAGGCGTGGGATGCGGGCCCTGGCCTTTTACCGCTTGTCCACAGGCACTGGGGTGCACACACACACTGGTGCACACGCCCAACACACCCGCCCGGCACCCGTGGTTGCTGCTTCTCTCTCTCCCTGTGACTCGGTTTTCGATGCTGGCAGAGGAATCATGGGTAGCTTTGACTCTCGTATTTAAATATTCTTGGTCTTTCCCCTTGACTGTTTCACAAAGAACATACATCATTATCATGACTGGGGAAAAAAATCAATACTTCTTTTAAAAGACTTGGATTCCACAAGGTTTTGTCGAAACCGAGCTCTGGATTTGGGTCTGTCACAGAGCAGGCAGGGCCCAGGTCCGGGGAGGGGCTGCAGGGAGTGCCCGTGTGCCCTGGGCTGGCAGGCCGTGTGGGTGGCAGTGCTCAGGACACGGCTGGACACAGCCGGGCGTCCCTGCCACCTTCCCCTGGGGCCACGTGCAACCTGAGCTCTGGACACAGCCTTGACCCTGGTGGGGCCTTGAGTCCCGCTGTGGTGTGGCCTCCTCTTCCTCTGCCCTGTGTCTGCTCACTGAGGCCCACCTGGCCTCCCCGATGGGCACCCAGTCCCCAGCATGAGGCGCAGCCATTGAGGAGGGACAGGCAAGAGGGCACTTTCTGGGCAGTGAGGCCTGCTGCCCCTCCCCCGCCTGCCTGCCAGGTGACAGTGGCCTGTGACCTGGGTCCCACTGAGTCTTGGGCCTTGCCCCAGGCTGTGCAGGAGCCACGGCTGCACCTTGCTCCTCAGCCTCTACTCTGCCGAGGGCCTGGCCCTGCCCAGGAAGGTCCTGCCCCGCTCTGCTGAGATGCCTCAGTCCTCCTGGGTGGGACAGGCCCTGCAGTGAGGTCCCTGGTGACATCTGCCCTCTGGCAAGGGGAAGCTCCGGCTGTGCCCCAGCCTTGAGCCCAGTGCTGCTCTGAGGGCACTCACAGCGTCTCCCACACCCACTTTCTCTGCAGCGGCGACGCAGAGAAACTGGAGCCTGGAAGCCGTCGGCCGAGGAAGTGGCCATGATGACAGACAGAAAGCACAGAGTGAGCCTGGGCTCTGCTCCTCTCTGGGATGGCCGGCAGGAAACGGCGGGGCCAGGAGAGGCAGCGGTGGGGGTTTGGGGTAATTAACTGCCGAGCCCCGGAGGGCCGAGCCACAGTGAGAGGGGGTGCCCAGGACCCTCTGTGCTGTGTGCAGGCTCCAGGTCCCCTGCCGCTCCCACCTGGGCAGTGGAGGTTTTCTGGATATAGATTCATCACCCAGAAAGTTGTTCATGCGATTGGAAGAGCCCCGGGCGTCACTTCCTAAGGGAGTGGGGCCTTGGATCAAAATGCCACGGCCAAATCTAGCCTCGAGCTCCCCACAGGACAGGCTGGGGCACTGGGTGTCATGCTTGAGTGCCACACACCCTGCGGACACCGCTGAGGTCCCAGGGCCCATGCTCCAGGCCCGGCACTGGGGTGACGCTGCTGTGTGTCCATTTGCTAAGGAGCATGTGGGTGGTCGGCAAGGGGGTTTGCAAATGCCAGCTGCGTTGCCCCTGTCAGGACTGTTGCTGTGCATCGGAAGATCCTGTTCAGATGTGGAACCAGCATGGCCACCGGACGCTGCAGGCTGCCTCGGGCGCCTGCCCACAGCAGGTGTCTTTATTCCCATGTGTGTGGCCCCAACAGCACAGGCTGCTGGTGCTGGTCCAAGGGGCCATCCTGGGGAAGTGGCCCTTCCTCAGCACTCCCTGGAGACATCCTCGGAGAGGATCCGGGTGTCAAGGAGCCCCAGGGACGCCCTGGAGGGTTTTCTCTGTACCGGTGGGGACGCTGGGTATGAGACGAGAGGTACAGCTGGCGAGGATGGGGTACCAGGGCCTGGAGGGGAAGGAGGAACCTTCCAGCTCACATCAGTGTTGTCCCGGATGCAGCCCAGAGGCCGGCTCCGCCAGCCTCCCAGGGCCCAGCGGAGGGCAGAGGCAGTGGCCAGCATGTCTGTCCGTCTCCACTGCCCTTAGCCTTTCCGGCCTGGTTCTTGTCTGTCCACTGGCCACTGTGCACAGTGACCACGGGCAGCAGTGACGAATGGCTGGTGTCAAGGCCTGTCATGCCAGCGGGGTCCTGGGGGAAATGCAAGGGACTCTCAAAACAGCTTTATTACCAACCTGTGGCCGCAGGATGATCAATCAAACTGATCAGTGGTGGCAAGCGTGGTGAGGGATGGGAGGCAGATGCCGGCCTCTCAGTGTGGGCTCCACGCTGAACTTGACCCGTGTCTGACCCTTGTGCCTGTGTGCACCTTCCATTCCCAGCCGGCTGGGGTGGCGGGGTGACGGGAAAGGTGGGCAGCCCAGGGGTCTGTCGGGCAGGCACAGGAGCTGCCGTTCAGGAGGAAGAGAGGCGGCCGGAAACTCGGGACCCTTCTTGGCTGTGGCCCGACTCGCGGGCCCTGGGAAGTGCCCGGACAGGGGTCCGACTGGGCTCTGTAGACAACGGGACATGGACCCCAAGCTCCCGCAGGCCAGGGGCTGGGGCCCCTCGGGGACAGACACTGAAGGAGCCGAGGTCTTCTGGCTCCCGGCCAAGGTGGCTCTGGCCCTGGCTGGTCTCGGCCTCGTACCACCAGCGAGCGGGCTGGCTACCGCTGCAGGGGCCTGAGCTGTCCGGCTGCTTCCCGGCTTCCTTTCTTCTTCCTTCTTCCTGTCCTTTTTCCTTTCCTTTCCTCTTCCTTCTTCCCTTCCTTCCTTTCTTCTTTTCTCCCTTCCCTTCTTTTCTTCTTCCCTCCCTTCCTTCAGGGCCCCAGAGGCTCCTCCAAGGCTGGCTGCTGCCTGAGTGGCTGCCCAGCCAGGTCCCTGAGCTGGGACAGCCTGCAGAGAGCCCCTGGTGGGACTGGGTGGAGGAGAACCAGGCGGAGTGAACCAGACCCTTCTTGGGGAAGAGACTGCAGCACAGGATCTTTTAGCCAGATACACTGTGAGGAAAAATAAACCTGCCTCCCAGAACGCAGCCTTCCAGCCACCCGTCCTTGGAGCACCTCGACTCTGGGCTTGGGCAGGTCCCGGCCGTGGGTGATCAACACTGCCAGTGTCCGGAGACCAAAGCTGGGGAACGTAAGCAGCTCGGCAGCATGAGGGGCTCTGTGGCGGGTGTGCTCCAGGGACACCCCAGGGACACCCCAGGGACACCGGGCCTCAGGAAAGGGAAGCCTTGTCGGGCACAATGCAGTGGGCTCAGGAGGGACCTCGAGGCCCAGCCCCCACTCAAGGGCAGCCGCGGCCAGCTGTGCAGTGGGCACAGTGGCCGAATCTCCTCTGCCCTCTGGTTGGTCTTGTGGACCATGTGTCACCCTCAGCAAATGGGCACCCCAAGCGCAGCAAAAGGCCCCTGGAGCCCACAGTGTCCTCCCTCACGGGGACCAGACGGGGTTCCAGAGGGATGGGAGGTGGTAGGGCCAGAGGTGGCATCCACTGTGCTCACGTGCCCCAAACTGCCACACCCCAAGCGCTGCCCTGTGCCATGTCCCCACCCCCTGGACAGGCCCACCAAGCCCTTCCCGGCTCTCTCTGGGGGTCGTGCAGAAGGGCACGGGTGGTGGAGAGGCCTTGGAGGCAGCCGTGAACAGGGGCATGGCAGGGTCTGTGGTGCCCGCGGAGGGCTCCCGCCACTTTCTCATGCCCGGCACCCTTGCTCCTTCCCGGTAACTTGTTAGAGCGCCTGTCAAGCCCAGGGCTGACAGGCTGATGTTACTCACTTGGCTGGATTCTGGAAAACTCAGCCTCATTTGCCAGGCAAAATTAACGAGAAAAGAAAGCCCTAAACGAGATAGTAATTTATGACTTCCACTGGGCCTGTCCCTCGGTCCCGGCGCAGAACGGCAGGTCTCATCTGAAAACACTGCCCGCTGGAGATGGGGCTGGCTCTGCCAAGTGTGCCCGAGGCCCACTGGATCCTGGCCTCTCCCCGGAGGGGCCTTGGGGGACCTGCGGCTCCACATTGCCATCTACACAGTGGTAGCTCTTGGGGCACCAGGGGTTCACAATACCCACTTCCAAATCTCAAGCTCAAAAGAGTGCCCCAAGGGTGTTTATGGATCCTGCATCCCCAGAGCAGGCGCCCATGCCTGGCGCTGGCTGCTAAAGGACTGGGGCCCAGGACCCACATCCCAGCGGGGCTTCTCCCTGCTCCAAGCCCTCGCTGCCACAGCCCCCCTCCATACACACACAGGAGAAGAATGTAACGGGAAAGCCAGCCATGCAGCAGCAGCAGCAGCAAAATAACCCTTTGCTAATGGCTACCAAACTTGCTGAGTGTCACTTCTAGCTACTCTGTGCAGGGAGGGCGTGCAATGATCATGCAGCTCACAGACAAGGCCTCTCTCCGGCAGGAGCCGACATGACAGGGCCTGGAAGGCAGGTGCTACTGTAATTAGCTATTGTTTGACTATCAAAAGTCAGGGCTGATTAAAGCCACTAAGCACAAGTGCACTATTTTATTTCAAAGAATATTATGAACTGCACGCTGAGGCCCTTTCAGAGCGGACCTTCCTTCCGCAGCCGGCTAAGAGCCCATGCCAGCAGTAATCAAACGCAAAATCTGCATAAACCTTCAGGGTTTAATTCAAGCAGAGACCTTTCATTAGAAATATGTTACTTTATGAAATCTGGTCGCCAGCAAGGGGAGAAAAATGTGACTTCTTAAGAAAAGTGAATGGCACCTCTTTAGTGATTAACCCAAGATTAATGGAGGCCCCCACTGCTCGGCCTAAGTCCGTTTTATTGCTAATTCATTTAGGTACCATTTCAGATACGCCTGATGAAAGTTACCTGCCAGGGCGTCAGGTTTTGGCAAGCGAGGATAGCCATTATGGGCAGAGCCCAAATACACTTTTGTTAAAGAAGCTTTGAAAGTGTCTTGTGTGAGTCCTTTCCCCGTCCTCTTAAGGGACATTCTGTTTAATGTGCTCAATTAGTTAGAAATCCGGATCCTAGACCATTAATCCGAGGCTGATGCGGCTGTTTCACCTTCAGACGCTCTTTTTCCTGCTTCCCTACACTGAGCTCAGAGACGCACATACTCTCACACGCACGCACGCACGCACGCAACGCTCTCCTGTGCCTGCACACCCCTCCTGTATACATGTGCACATGCATGTCCTGTACACACTCACATGCCTGTGCAGGTGCCCACACATGGCTGGGCTTGTACACACACATACACATGCTCCCCGCACACGTGCACACACAGTCACGTGCCTGCGATACCTTCCCATGCCTATGCACACACACCTGCCACACACATGCATACACACCCATGCACACACCTGCCCCCACACACGTGCACATGTGTGCGCCTGTACACACACACAAACACAAGCTCACACCCCCACACGTGCACACCAAACACTTGCCTGCACCCCAAGTGCTCAAAGGATGGGAAGATGCTCAGGGCCCCTCACACATCTGGTGGAGCTCAACCCCTCCCCTGCTCCCCCACAGCACCTCAAAGGGCAGAGTAACCTTTGTCCTTCTGGGTGCCGGGTGGTGCCCCAAGGCAGAGCAGCCCCCGTCCTCAGGAAGAAGCCAGGTCAGGTGAGAGCTGGGCAAACCTGTCTGGCCACCCCTTCCCACACACCTGCCCCTGCTCCCCCCAGGGGCTTTGCACCATTTTCTCTTCCTGCAGCCCACACCCAGACCCCCGCTGCCCCAGTGCAGCTGCCTGTGCAAAGGCACACTCTGGAGTGGGGACACCTCCTACGCCCTCCACTGGGGAGGTGGCTGAGAGTCACTTTCTATCCAGATCCCCTGTGGCTGTTCCCGCTGTGAGATCCTAGGGCCCCACTAGGAACAGCAGGGTCTTCCAGGAAGGGCCATGCAGAGGGTCTCTGCCCTGGGGGCTCCAGGGCCTGGCCCTGCTTAGCCCAGGCAGCTGCATAGATTCGGGGAAGTGCTCGGTCCCTTCCTTGAGGTCCCCTGGCAGGAGAGGACTGGGGCTTTAAACTCTGACTTCCAGACTTCCAAGACTCCAAACAGACCCCCACGAGGCCTTCCTCCCTGGGCCCACGTGGAGAGCCCTCAGTGCCGACACCTGTTCCCCCCAGAGCCTCCTGCCCAAGCCGCTTCTGCTGCCTAAAGAGCAGGAAACATGGAAAGATGTCACCAGGCTGGGGCACTTACAAAGGCTTCAGAAGGGCCCTCGGCCACAGGGCCAGAAAAATCAGGGTCTTTGCATCTCCTAAAGCAGGTCCCCAGCGCCAGGGCTGCCATGGGGCCCTGGGTCAGAGCGGGCGCAAAGAAGGCAGCTCAGATTCTTGGCCTGGAGGGCTTGGGGGTACCATGACCGGGTGCCGGCAAGGTCAGGATGCCCTGGTGACCATGGTGGGCTCTCGGGCGGGAGTGGCCTCTGGTGATCTCACCCGTGAGCCTCCTGGGGCAGACCACGGCTCTTGCTGAGGGCAATGGGTGTTTTCAAGGCCAACTTTAGAAACGGAGGGGCAGGCTTCCTCCGCAGGGGCGGGGTCCCCTGTCCCACAGGGCTGTCCCCAGCAGGGGCCCACTCACCCTCCTCTGCCCGCCCTGCCCAGCAGGCTGTCCTGTCCTCTCACACCCCGTCTGCAGCTCTCCTGTGAGTGCACGTGTTAATTATCCTGCCACTGCTGTAATTTCTCCCCGTAGTCCATTAATTAAGGGGTCACAATCCCAGAGCATGTTTACCCAATAAGCTTTCTTTTTTAATTATCCTAATTGCTTGGAGACTGACAAAGACCCTGCCCTTCTCCTTCCCCAGTGGATTAGCACATGACGGATGCACTTCCACCCACACCCCCTGCCACCCTCACGGAGTGTAGGCCTGCATCCCAGCTGCTGCGCCCACGGCCTACACACGCATGCTCACAAGTGTGTGCAACTGTGAGCCGGGGCTGGTCTGGGCATCACATGGCCTGAGGGCTCCTGAGGTCAGCATGGAGTCTGCTGGTTTGCACTGACATTGGGTATGAACCAGAGCATGCCCCCTCCCAGCAGAACCGGAAACAACAGTGTGAATGTCCTGCTGGGACTCCTACCTCTGATTCGGCTGAGGACACTCCAGGGAGACCCCTGCCCTCTGCCTCGGCCCACCATGGCTCCTGGAGGGGAGCAGATCAGTCTGCTGTCCATCTTCGGATGCCCACGGAGCTGCCATGTGACCCAGCGGTCCCCTCCTCCCAGGAGAGTTGGATTCACCTCCGTGTTCCTACAGCTCTGGGCCTGGCAGCCAGGGGTGAGCAGGACCCTGGCCACTGTGGGAGAGGGGACAGATGAGGCATGGTCCATCCACGCCTGGGACCCATGCTTAGCTTCAGGGAGGAGCGGAGCACTGGGGCCACCACATCACCCTGGGAACCTGCGCTCGGGGGAAGTGGGCACGAAGGCCACACACTTCAGGGTCCACTCTGGGAACAGGGAAACTGGTGCTGCTGTGGGTGCTGGAGGACAGACGGGAGCAAGTGCTGCCTGGGGCCGGGTCCCTCTGGGCTTGGTAGGAATGCTGGGTAGAGGAGTGGAGCACAGTGACCAGCCGGATGCCACCACGTGGCCGCTCTGAAATGCTGCGCTGAGTGTTTTATGACTTTCACCCCAAGAGAAACCAGAGATGGGCTCCACCACGCACATCAGCCACGGTCCCAGCTGGAAGATGTGGTTGGTCTGGGAAAGGGGATGGCAGGGGGTGCCAGCCTGCCCCTCCCGCCATAGGGGAGACTGCCAGAGACCCGGACGGCGCCCGCACGGGTGGGCAGCAGAACTCAGCATGGCTCGTGCATTCGCTTCCGCCCAGTGGGGACCATGCTGTGCCCACCAGCCTGGCAGGTTCCTGGGCGTGGGACATTAATGTGTGGCTGTGAGGGGAGGGAAGGGTCCTCGCACACGGTCCTCGGGTGCATCAGGGGTGCACAGCGGTCCTCAGCCACCTCTACTGCTCTCCTGGCGCCCGGCTGGTCTCCAGTTCTGTGGGAGTTTACGTCTCTTTAATAAAGATTAAGATGTCAGAGGGCCAGCGCTGCACAAAATCCCACTTTGATTAACTTCTCATTACCAGCTGGAGAGAGCGCAGCCCGTTTCAGAACTTCCGAAGCGGCGTGGTTCCCGGACAAGAAAATGGTTATTAAACACGCGTTTATGACGGCAGTGCTCACGGCCCTGCTGACTCAGCGAAGGAGCCGTGCATCCCAGCTGGACGCAGGACAATGGGACTTAATGAGCAGTGACCGTGTGGCCTTGCCCCGGCAGGAGCTGGGCTCTGCCTCCCAGGCTGGCGTGGCCCCAGTGAGGGGGTGGTGAAGGATCCGGGAGAACGGGGGTCTCAGGCTGACCTGGGGCCTCAGCGGGCATGGCCACCAGAGCACCATGCTCACCATGCTGTCCGCCCAGACGGCCTCACCATCTCCTCCCAGATCAACTCCAGCTGCCACTCTCAAGTTCCCAGCATGGACCCCGGGGCCCTGGGCAGGAGCCTGGGCTGATACTCGGGCACCCCAGGCCCAGGAGGGGCCCTCTCTCCAGGGCGATGCTTTGTCCTCTTGCCAAGTTCTCCCGAGTCACGTGATCCTGGCACCTGCCTCTTCCTCCAGTGAAAACCTTCGAGTGACGCCTCCCTGTCCCCGCCCGCAGCCCACTCCCTATCAGCGTGGCCAGAGGGGGTCCCAGCCCTCCCTCGCTCCTGGCACGGGGGAAGCTCCCTACTCGGGGGTCTTGAACAGCTGTCCCCTCCCTGGGACACTCAGTGCTGCCCTCCAGGGCTGTCCCCCTCAGATGTCCCTTCAGCCCCATCCCCAGATAGCCCTTGACCTATGCCCTGCCCCACGGCCCCTCCTTGGCCTCCTCCTTCCTCTGAACCCTGAGAACTTCCTGCATTTTGCCTCTTCGAGGGGATGGGCCAGTGCGTGTCAGAGTCCAAGGCAGGTGTAGTTGTGCTCAGTGAACCCACGCAGAGGGCCCACAGAGGGGGACAGGAACTAGCAGGTCGTGTGCCAGCCCAGTGACTTTGCAGCTTTAGGCAAAGCCCTTTGCCTCGGGAAGGCCGCACTGTGAGGGGGATGGGCAGCACATGAGGGAGTCACTGGCTGACGATGAATGTCACACTCCCCCTGCCCTGATGCCTGGCCAGGACACAGAAGGCCCCTGCAGGTGGGGTCCTCCTTCAGTGCCCACCTTGTCTGGGTCACCCTTGGGGCAAGAGGTAAGGTTTGTGGGGTAAAAATGTAGCCCTGACCCAGAGGACCTGGCCCAAGCAGCATCAGCTGGGCAGCATGGGCTGCACTTGGAGCACAGCGGGCTTGGGGGCACCCTGCACCTGGGGGCCGGGTTGCTCCCCAACAGGGGGCAATGGTCTGAGCAGCGAGGCCATTGCCCTGTGGCTGGACTCCTCTAAGGGACCCAGGGTGGGAGTCAGCAAGCAGCTCCAGCCTCAGGACCAGGCCCGAGCTGGAGAACGGCACTGCCATCACCAACAGGTGGACCGGTCTGGAGTGGCCGGATGGCAGCAAGGGCAGCGTGCACCACATACTGGGGATTGTCCTCGGGTGCCAGTGAGGGCCTGATTTCCTACCCTGGAGCCAGCCAGCCACAGGCCCGGAGGGAAGAGCACCCCCACCCAGCTGGTGGCCATGACCTCCTTCTCAGAATGGCCTTTCTCTGTCCCTGGGCGACCAGACACATGTGGGCCAGAGCCACTACAGGGCACGGTGGGATGAGGCAGGCCTAGGAGACTCGAGGGTGTGTGGCCCACCGTCCTGAGGAGCCAGTGCCCCAGTCCGCCCCCCTGGGTGCATCTCGTTCCCTAGGGGCCCCTCCGCCCACACCCTGCCACAGCACTCACACTCAGGGGCAGAGGGCT